GGAATTTCAAGAAATCGTATAGTTAAAGTTCAATTTCTCAGGAACTATTCAACCGATTTTACTCAAATTTTGTATTTTGCCATGTAAAACTATGTACCCTAAAATGGTGTAAAAATTTGCATACCTTATGATTCAAAATTCTTAGGACTATTTTTAAGTAAAGTAATAAAAAATAATAAATATTTACTAAAATTTATTTTTTGTATTGAATTATCATTAGATAAATAAATTTTATAATTGTTCGCAATTATTCTCAAGATATCGGAACCATATTTCCTGGATTGCAGCTATATTTTGAGAATCAAAAATAGGAGAGCTTAGGGGCGAGGAAACCTTGGTTGGTAGGGTGTTGGGCCCATGTCCAAGAGGTCGTGAATCCAACCCCCTCCTACTGAATACTATCTGTGTAGTAAATGGTGACTAGTGCACGTTAAAACTATCTGTTCACAAAATCCTTCATGTTCCCATAACAAATCATACCTCTGGGAATACTGAATTGGAGATTGCTCGCTCTCTGTTGCGGGTCATAATTACGAAGAATGAATGAATGTATGAATGAGTCTGCCGTATAAATGGGCAGAGATGTGTGTGTGGCTGAAGTCGTATTCTTGGCCATAGATGATGGCACCTCTTAAAAACAAGAAACTCACCCGCTGCCATAAATTCGCTTGGTTTCACCAAGTAGGCTTACTGGCCAGTGACACTAGAAACAACAACAATACGAGTAACGCTTTAACTTAACTAAATGGTCTTACATAAAATTATGATAATTACATATTTTATGAACAGAATGGTCTTTTTTCAAGTATTTAATTTTAGGGGATTTATAATTTAGGTAATTTATAATTAAATTTTCTTAAATTATTAAGTATCTTTACAAGGAAAAAATCTTATTTAAATGTGCAAAACTATTNTGACTAAACATACCTTTTTTCGACGGATTTAAACTTCTCATCCTCCAAAATATGTAAATAAATATGTACCCTATAGTTTGGTCAGAAGAGCCATCTAAAGTTTCGACCCCTTTATGCTGAGCATTTTCATTTTTACTGTTTTTGCCATATTTAGAGAATTTTTTAAGAATTGAAAAATTTTTGAACTCCATTATAAGTTCGTTTATCCAATGATAATGACATGCAAAAATTAAGTTATAATAAATCTTTATTACTTTTTATTATTTTATTTAATAATCTAAAACAATTTCAATTGAAAGGTATGCAATTTTTTACATCATTTTAAAGTATGTAAATTTATATGGCAAAATAAAAACTTTGAGTAATTCGCTCGAATAGCTCCTGAGAAATGGAATTTCAAGAAATCGTATATTTAAGGTTCAATTTCTCGCGAACTATTCAACCGATTTTACTCAAAATTTGTATTTTGCCATGTAAAACTATGTACTTTAAAATGGTGTAAAAATTTGTATACCTTTTGATTCAAAATTCTTAAGACTATTTTTAAGTAAAGAATAAAAAAATAATAAATATTTACTAAAATTTATTTTTTGTATTGATCTATCATTATAGATAAAGAAGTTTTATAATTGTGCTCAATTATTCTCGAGATATCGGAACTATATTTCCCAGATTGCAGCTATATTTTGAGAATCAAAAATAGGAGAGTTTAGGGGCGAGCTGTGTAGTAAATGGTGACTAGTGCACGTTAAAACAATCTGTTCACAAAATCCTTCATGTTCCCATAACAAATCATACCTCTGGGAATACTGAATTGGAGATTGCTCGCTCTCTGTTGCGGGTCATAATTACGAAGAATGAATGAATGTATGAATGAGTCTGCCCTATAAACGGGCAGAGACGTTTGTGTGGCTGAAGTCGTATTCTTGGCCATAGATGATCTTGGAACTAATCCATAATTGCCTCTTAAAAACAAGAAACTCACCCGCTGCCATAAATTCGCTTGGTTTCACCAAGTAGGCTTACTGGCCAGTGACACTAGAAACAACAACAATACGAGTATCACTTTAACTTAACTATATGGTCTTACATAAAGTTATAATAATTAAATATTTTATGAACAGAATGGTCTTTTTTTAAGTATTGAATTTTAGGGGAAAAAATAGAAATTTTAATGGGAGTTTTGACGAGCAGGTGGCGAAGCCTCTTCATACTTATAAAAAATCATCAAGCAATGAAAATCTTAAAAACTTTTCCTGCACAAAGTACTTCAAAAACTTTCCCTGCTTAAATTATTAAGTATCTTTACAAAGAAAAAATCTTATTTAAATGTGCAAAACTATTAAAAAAAACATAATAACGAAATATAATATTATCTTCTTATTTTGTAAAGTGTTTGGTTTTTTAGCGATGATTTTTAAAAAAATGAATTGAATTATAAAAAGTTATATTTATATACTTTTAAAATAATATCGAAATTTTAATTCTTATTACATTCTCCAATTAAATTTGAATATTCTTTAAGTCTAATTTTGTAAATCATGATTTGCGACACTATTTTGTTCTGCATACTGTTATTTTTATACCCTATTCTTCTTTACTCCGAATTGGAGCATAGGGACTTCTATCATTTCCATGCTGGATCATTTTCCATCACACTTTATTTGTGACCCTTCTCCATGTCTTTCATGTTTTCAATTCGTTTAAAATCGTTCTGCGCCAAGTATTTTTAGGTCTTCCTCTCTTTCTATTGCCTTAGGGTTCCAATCGAAAACTTGTTTTGCTCTAAATTTTTCAGGATAACGTTGAGCATGATCAATCCACTACCATTTACGGTTTTTTTTTATTTTCATATCAATCGGTTTCTGTTTTGCTTTTCTAAGAATTTCTGTATTGCAAATTTTATGAAACCACTTTATACGCAGTATTCTTCTTAAGCAGTTGTTAATAAATACTTTAAATCTTTTCACGTTATTTTTATTGCAGTGCCATGTCTCAGATATGTATAGTAAGACAAATTTAACACAAGTATTGAAAATTCTAATTTTTGTTGAATTTGTTATGTTTTTGTTTCTCCAGAATTTATAGAGACTAGCGTAAGTGCTACGGGCTTTGTTTAATCCATTTAGCATATCTTCATCAATTCTTTCTTTAAAAAAAGTAAGAAAAAAACTTAATAACAACCTTATCTCCGTATTCTACGAAATGTTCGACGGTCTAGTATCAGTTTTCAGCAATAGTTTTTAAACGAATTAATCGGTATATAAAAAGTTATATTTATGTACTTTTACAATAATATCGAAATTTTAATTCTTTCTATATTCTCCAATTTAGTTTGAATACTCTTAAAGTCAAGTTTTGTAAATCATGATTTGCGACAATATTTAGTCCGGGGAAATAACAATCTTATAAAAGGAAACTTATTTAGCGTATTATTTGAAGCAATAGCTTACTTCTTTACTAGCTGCAGATATATATCATAAAAAAAATTGATTATTAACTTTTTCATATTCTTCATTGGCAGAAAAACAAAAAACCTAATAAATGCAAATTACATTTCCTGCTATCAATTAGGGATAATTTAACGTCATTAAGCAAAAGGGAAAAAATAATCTTGGCACAAATTATTAGGATATTACTATCGTAATGACCAAAATAAATTTCAAACATTAACTTTGCATTGATAAAAGAACTAAAAAAAGAGCTATGTATAAAATACCAAATGGAGAAAACTGCAATTATCAAAAATCTTACAAATTAATACTTCGTATTCTGATAAAATTAAAATAGGATAATTAATAATTATTTAAATAAAATATGAGAAAGGATTTATCGCGTAATTATGGATATAAATAAAAGGAAAAACAACTTTTGAAATAATGTTAGTACTTTTATTTGAGCTGTTTAAAATATAGTGCAATTTGTGATCTAATTTATTTGATGAAAGGTCTGTCTTACACATCCACTTGTTAAAGAGTCTGAATTTATTCATAAAAACTGTGTCTTCTAAATATTTGTTTAATAAATTAATTGTCTTACTGTATTAAAATGATTGCTTTGAATTTTTTTTTTGTTTATAGTTTTTTTTTCATATAAGATATTTTTTTTCTGTTCTTATGGATCTGACAATGTTTTTGCTGTCGGTGTCATGAAACAAGCTTACACGTGTTTCTTTTACCATTATTTTTTTATTATTATGTATTTTTATTAATATGATCGTTTATTATTACTTTTTAGTAACTCACTCTTGCGTCTTTGAGGGTGGAATCTTGCGACTGAAATTTCGACTGCTTTCCAATTAGCTATAGCACTAAAATCTTCCCTGTAGCTTCGTTCCGAATGACAATGCTCGTTGTAGCAATCGTTTCCTGATCACTCACAATGTATCACCTTTTTATTTCCAAATAGAATTAATCTTAAACGCGAGTTCTAACCATTTTTTGACTAAATAGCACTGAAATCTCATCTTGAGCTCTGTATCTTCACAGCAATATAAATTGCAATGTTTCCTAACCGCTTCAAGCAGAATTTATCACCAAACACAATCTACCGTGAATCAAAATTTTGTCCCCTCTGTAACTAGCTATTGTACTCAAACTTGATAAGGAACTCTGAAAAGAATGACGACATGTTTCAATCGCGTTTTTATTTTTAAAACTTATTTTTTTTCACTGCTAAAAATAGAATTTATCACCCGAAAAGTTTATAGTCAATAAAGTTTCGATCACTGACCAAATGGCTACAGTGCTTATGTTTAAACTAAAGGTCTGTGCTGAATGACAAGTCCAACAAACAACAGCATATATAAACAGTTTAGTATTATTTTTAATAATCACCAAAATTTCCTCCCATGTCTTTCATAGTGGATGGCATTCTACGCTTCTTTTTTTTTTAAGTCAGCCGAAAAAAATTATTTTCTTTTTAACACACTTTATACAAATGTAGAGTTTAAATACTTTATTTTATCTAATAATTTATCAATAATTCATTCTTCCGTAATGGTTCAGACTTTTTGTTTTCTTTTTCATTTTAAATATTGTTTACTGAGATACATAGCTTTTTGAAATCTTGATTTTATTTATACAGGAGGTATAAGCATGTGTGGCCATTCCATACTGCATGTGCTTCAAATGAAAATTGCATGGCACCTAGTTTATACGCAATGATTGGAGCTGCATCTTGCTTGGCAGGTGTAACGAGAATGACAGGTACATTATTTAAATTAAAAATGTAAAAACCGGTGATTGCCGATTTACCATTTGGTCCTGTATACATTGCTTAGGCAATGTGTTAAATTTTTAAAGTTTAAATTGCATCAAAAACAACGTTTTAAAATCACAAATAGTAGAACTGTACGAGTTTTGATGTCACAATGGTACACCTTCATCAGTTGGATAGGAATTTTATCCTATTGATAAAAGTGTACCATTGTGACACCAAGACTCGTATATGTTTTAAATAAAAAATTGCCATTCATTTGTGATTTGCGTATTTGTAACTTATCTATTGCGATTGCTCACCATTATCACAATGCTGCGCCTTCATCAGTAAGATGAAAGTTTTATCCCGTTGATGAAGGCGTAACAATTGTGTCAGGTATTTCGTTTTGACCTATACGAGTTTGGATATTACAATGCTACGCTTTCATCAGTTGGATAAAATTTTTATCTTACTGATGAAGGTGTACTTAAAACGTTGTTTTTGATGAAATTTAATTTTATTTCAAAAAATTTCCTTTAGCATAAATTTTATACTTTCATTTTGTATAGAATGCCAAAATTCAGATTTGACCTATAACATATGCATTTACAACTAGTTAACATATAAAAAGCAAATACATTTTTTATAATTTATATATATTTACTTGAAAATCTTTTCTAGTATCTTTGGTCGTTATCATGTTTGAGTTGACCGGAAGTGTCGATTATATTGTTCCAGTTATGGCCACTGTTGTTGTGAGCAAATGGGTTGGAGACGCAATGGACAAGGAAGGGATGTATCTTTTTCTATGTTTGTCTAAATCACAAAAGGAATTTATACTTTTGATTGTTTAATGCTCGTTAATGAATATTTCTTATCACAATTCATTAGATATGATGCTCATATACAGTTCAACCACTACCCATTTTTGGATAACAAGAAATCTTTTAAAGAATCTACGAAAGCTGTTGATCTTGTTCGAGGAATGTGGTAAAAACAATTATTAACTCATTCCTTTGAATTTGTAAATTACAGTCACGGTTTTTGAGCAGCATTTCCCAATTTTTGTTTCGATACGGAACCCTAAATGATTGAGAAATTTTTGGCTGAACACCGACTTTATAAATAAAGTATATTAAAGCAGCTGAGAATCTACTAAGCAAAGAAAGATTGCTGGTTAGTCTTAAAATATTTAATATGAAGAATGAATTATTTTTATCGTTTTATCAATAATAGTCTTAAATTAGGTTTAATGTCAGACACTTAAATTCACAGGTTTCGAACAATATCTAGTCCAATTTTGAATTTGTTTTCAGTGTATGCATAAGCTGAAAATGAACAAAGTACGCTGAATTATAATTTTCGTAAAAGATCTGTTAAAAACATTAAGAATAGTTATACAAATGTGAAGGATAATAATTTAATTTCAGATTTTAAAAATTATAAAAAAAAAAATTTCTCTCAATGCATTAATGAATCTTCTGCGGAATCCAAGGATTTCTTTTGGGAATTACTGTTCTGTTAGATATTATTTTCACGATCACGATGAAATAAAAAATATTTCAAGAATTGTTTCTCAACCCTTGTCCACGAACCGAGTTGCAAGCTCTATTAACAGGTCAACAAACACTGTTACCTTTTTGTTATTTAATATCGAACAAAGACCACTTTTTCCCTACTTATTACTAAAGAATAAGAAAAAATAAACATAAATCCGATTTTTTTTTTGCTTCGGTAGTTGCTTAGATGTATATCAGATTAGACATTAATACGATATTTTGTTAGAGCACGTGATTTTAACTCCATAAGCTACTGTTAAGATTTTATTGCCTTTTTCTTCAACTTATTAACGTAAAACTATAATTTTGGTTATGAGTGTGAATTTGGTTATGAAATAAAACATTGAAATCGATTTCATTTTGCCCCTACTGTACGTGTTCTTGGAACTAGGTTTGACACCTGAAATTGACATGTTAGTCAGCAGCAAATAACAACAGCAATTACATTAAATTCAGTTATTTAGATTTTGAATGTCTATTATTTCCTTTTTATTTGTTTCATATTTACTTGCATTATATTGATACCTACACATGGTTTTGGTATCGCTATATTGTTATTAGAATAGAAAAATTTATACTTGTATTAGAATTCATATAAATTTTATTTATATTTAGAAAAGTTTATTCTTCATTGTGGAGAGTATGTTAATTAATGATAAAAAATAAAATCAAAAAATATTTCATGTGCCACAATTTCGTATAAGTAAAACTTATGCCAATAGTACCTTACCAGTCCTCGACAAAACACTCAAAAGTTTTACCGGTCTATGGTGTAAATTGGGTTGAGAAACATTGATTTAAAGTATCTAGCTAAAATTAATAAATCTTAAAATGAATTTTAATTAGTAGACATTGAAACATAATAATTCTCTTCGTGTATAGGGGCTTCGTAATCAATAACTTTTATACTCTAAGAAAACTAGTCAAAAATAGGGTCATAACGTTTGGATGATTAAGCGTTGAAAAAAACGAATTAATATCGAAGTGAGGTAGAAAACATCAGACATTAACGAATTATTATCCTAGTCAATTTAAATATTGTTTTGATTTAAATCCCCAATAAGTTTATTTGATGTGAAAAATGGAAAGTTGTTTCGTGGAAAATTCAAATAACTTTCATTTTCATCATATGAATTTACTATAATTCAAACCCGCATTTACTCTAATTGATTCCAGTAATTGATTTTTAGATTTTGATAGCATTTTTTTTTCTAGTTGAAGGACTCCGAATGTTGAGACATTTTTGAGAAATGTTCTAAAAATAAATATTAAAGTTCTAAAAGTACAGCTTGTATTTTTCTCCATTTAAATAATAATAAAAAACTTTTTTTTCAAACGAAACGATAAAGCCAATAAGAACAAAGCAGTTTAAAACAAATAGTCACCAAGTTTGAGTAACTGATTTTTTTTCGCATACAGCTAACCAGAAAACCACGTAAACCAATGTTAATTTAATTCACAGGGATTTCATAGGGTTAAAAAAAATCCTTGCCTTGGGCTAGAGAGTCCTTCAACTTTGAAATTCCAACTAAGAAAGAGGATGCATAGTTAGAAAGTTCATTTCAAAATAAACATTTTGAAAACAAAAAGTTTTCTTTTTATCCTGCGACAACTTTGCAGAAAGTTTTGACTGCTCAAAAGTTTTAAATCAAAATGCCCTCGAGAAAGGAGAATTTACGGAAATTGAAATTCAATGAGTCTTACGAAAAATTAAAATGGTGTACTACAAAACACACCACATTGATAATAGCTTTCAGTAGACAAAATATCTAGTTATCAATAAAATTTCTTTTACGATATAACGTCATAAAAGTTAAATTGTCACTATCCAATATAATAGTACAGCCTACATAAACTATATTTCCCAATCATATATTGAAAATTAACTTGAGTTATATTCGGGAAGAGATTGATTTCTAAATGTAGGGGAATTTAAATATATCGGCGGAACACATGAATAACTTTTGATCTAATGATAGAACTTTCCCTTACTAAGATGCAATCTTGGTAGTTCGAGAGGATAATCTGAAATACCAATTCATAAGAACGGGTACTCTTACAAGTTTAAAAATCTGACCCAAAAATGTAATTTTTCTTCATACCTTCTCTTCGACGGGTTCGAGTTTTTATCCTTTAAAATGTTAGGATTCGCCCTAGTCTGAAAAACTTGGCAACAATAGTTTACACAGGACAGCGGTCAAAAGTTGAAGTTCTTGAATATTATTGTATTCCATGGTAAATATTATCTTAAATTATGTACGTATTTCGATGATCTTCATATGTTTCAGACTTTATGCAAGTTAAAAACGCGTTTGCACAAAAATAAAGCATATGAAACATGTTACTTAATAATAATTATTTTTTATTTAAATTTAGCTATGACAAAAAATTTTTTTTTAATGATATACAAATATTTACACAGTTTAAATTCTGTAGTTTTAAATAAGAAAATAAAAGCATTGAACGAAATTAGCCGAATGGTTTCGGAGTAATAATTTTTAAAAAACATTGAAACTCCACCCTAATTTGAAGGTCGAAAATTCGAATTTGTTGAAAAATTTATTCAGAAAAAGGCTTTGGGGTCCGACTTTGTTACGTAATATTTCACCTGCTCTTACTAATTGGAATATTTTTCTCAGGTCAATCCCTCGAACCATTAAGATTAAATCTTCATATATAAAAATCCGATTACTAGATCAAAAGTTAAGAATTTTTTTCGTTTTTTAAATTGCAGAGTACAGTGCGCAAAAACAAAAAAAAAAAAAAAAACTGGGCCAACCTAAGTATTTGATCTAATGATCGAATCTTCACGTTCTAGATTCACGTCATCCAATTAAGAAGAGCAGACTATAGTTTTAGTTAAGAAATCAGACGTAAAAACGTACTTTCTCTGAATAAATATACCTTTTTTTTGACGCATTCGGATTTTTGATCTCCAATATATAGCCGCAATCTGGGAAATACTGTCCTAATAGTTTGTTAGGAGAACGCTTCAAAGTTTGAACCTCTTAAAGTTAATTTTTTTGCTTATTTCACTGTACCTCGAGAGCTTTTTAGCTTACTTTTTTGCACACAGTTATAAAATCGTTTATCCAAAGATAATTCGCTGTAAAAAATGACTTTTAGTATTTTATTTAATAAAGGACGAATTAATTTTGAATTGCACGGTACACAATATTTTGCATCGTTTTAAAGAACATAATTTTACATGGCAAAAGGAGATATTTACGCAAAATCGGTCGAATAGTTCATGAGAAATTGAATTTCTAAAAATGCAGATATTTAAAATTCAATTTCTCATGAGCTATTCGATTGATTTTGCTCAAACTTTATATTTTGCCAAGTAAAATTATATTTTTTAAAATGATGCAAAAAATTGTGCGCCTTACAATACAAAATTGTCCCTTCCATTATTAAATGAAATAATAAATATATACCAAAAGTTATTTTTTGCATGGATTTATCTTCGGATAAACAAATTTCATAATTGTGTTCAAAATTTTTCAATTCGCTTAAAAAGCGAAAACGCAAGAAGTAAAATTAACAAACTTTGGTCCAAACTTTAGAACACTCTCCTGACCAAAAAAAAAAATTGGGACCATATTTCCCAGATTGCGGCTACCTTCTATATTTTAGAGATAAGAAATGCAAATCTGTTAAAAAAAAAAAAAAAAATTATGTTTATTCAGAAAAAGTACATTTTTGTCACCAATTTCGTAACTTAAAATATCGTCTGCAGTAATCAATTAGCATATTTGAAGTCACTCCCTCGAGTCATTAAGATTGAGTCCTAAAACGTGAAGATCCGATTATTCCATCTAAAGTTAATCTGTTATTTTTTTTCTTTGGCGCATTGCACATTAGTTGAAATTTTTTTTTTCTTCCGATTCTTTCGATATTAAATTACATCTTTATATGCTGCTATATTCAATGATATACAGTTTTAAGTCATTAGTTGATAATAGTAAGCTTGAAAAAATATAAATAAACTATCTACTAAAGTATCAAATGATTTTTTAAAAAAATATAAATTATAATTTAGGAATGCATATAAAATAATTTACTATGTTGTATTAGTTCATTACAAACAAATAATGATCGTATATATATATTGTTGTAGGATTAGAAGCCAGCTAGTTTGTTTTAGTCAAAAAGGAATGACTTTATACGAAATAGGTAACTACAATCATTTCTTTTTTTTTTTCTAAACATGAAAATTCAAAGCTTTAAGCTTGAGTTTAGATTAATTTCAAATTTCAATCTAAAGCATAATTATAAAATTAAAATACTTATATTTTTTAATGCCACCTTTTTAAGAGAACTAAAACGATAAACGGAGAACTTGATAAAACTGTGATAAAAATTTATTATGCTCTTTTTTAGAAGAATAGCGTATCAAGGTTATACGATTTCCCTTCTTCATTACCACAGTAGTCCAGCGTCCTTACTAAAACGTAAATCGCGAAACCTCGGGGCACCTATAGTTTGTCTACGGTAAGAACTCCCCCCACCCCTAAGTCTGAGGCCGTCTGCTGTTATGGAAACAAGAATAGTGCATTTCTGGGAGGGTAGCTTCTCTTCATTCTAGGGCTAACACAATAGACTGAAGAAAAAGATTCCCTTTCTCTAGCAGACCCCACACCCCTACTTGAAATAGTTATATATCGTTACCATATAGTCACCGCCACGGGTCCAGACGAATGGCTAAAGGAGTTCTTATTTAAGACAAACTATAGTCTATTTACAACGAGTACAGGAAAGTGTTTTTTGTCTATTCGATCAGCGTAGTTTTTAGTAATCTCTTTTTGTTCTTTTTTTAAAATTTCATTTTAGTTTTGTGTGTTAGCTTATGTCGGAAAGTAGTCGAAATTTCGAAGGACGATAAAATGGCAATAAATTCTGTCTAAGAAGCCGCGCTATTGAAACATTTATTTCATGACACGGCTGTACAATACTGGTCAGAAAACGATCGAATTTTTCCTATTTTTGTCATCCGGCAAGAACTGCAGTCGAAATTCGAGCTCTCCAGCTATGGCGATCGAAATGGACTACGGGTGGTGCAGAGCAAAACTCTCAACCTATGACAACACTTCACATGCTTTCACCATAGCGTGTGGAGAGTCAGGGGTGAAGGAAGTACTTTAGTTTCTGTCTTAATTTTCAAAACTTTTAAGTTATTAAACTATATGGAACTGAAAATAAACATAGTTCTTGAAGAAAGCATTGTGGAAATATTAGAAAATATTTGTGATAATTAAATACTAGAAACATTATGAAAATGGAAGATATCCTAGTACATTTCCGTACAACTAAAAAGAGGGAAGGGGGTCAAAACATGGAACCGGTCTTTTACCCAGTTGGCGTATTCGAGCTTTGAAATCGCAAATTGGCGATCGAAATGGGCTACAGGAGGCGTAGAGCAGAAGTCTGTACCTATGACCAGGGCTAAAGAGAATAGAAGGGCTGGTTCACTCGATTGAAGAAACTCTCGCCACGCCAATCCTCCGATTTTCTCTAGTGACGTCACTTTGGCGCAAAGCTCGCACTTTTACTTCAAGAACGGAGCGTTCGGCCTTACTAGCTCTAACTAATATTGGAGTATTTCTTTTTGAGAGATATTCTAAGACATTTGTTATTTTCTATAATGACTTTCCTCAGTTTTTGCAGTGAATTTACAAGAATTTAAAACTATTATCGAAATGCCAGTTTGCGCGATTGCAACTTGCAAAAATTCTGATAAAAAAAACAAAAAGAAAAACGTGTACCTTAAAGTAAATGAACAACTATGTAAAGAATGGATTCCGAAATGACACAGTTAATATAAAACAGCAATACGTTTATTCTATCGCTAAGAACTTTTATAAAAATTCATTATCTAAATAGAAACCGCCTCGTTACTTCAAAAAGAAACGCAGGAGAAAAAAATTAAAAAATAGATAAAGTCAAAGAAAATTAAAATGTAAATAAAATATATAGTATGTAGTTGAAATTCTCCTAATTTCATAACATATTTTTAATGTAGTTATTCTAAATATTTATGATTTCTTTAAAAATTATATTCTCTTAAATTTAAATATCTATAAATTATATCATCGTAAATTTAACTATCTATAAGCAATTGTAAAATTTCTAATGTCATTATGAACCTAAATTATTATTTTGTTTTAGTAATTAGCGTATAAGGTTGATGTTTCCTAATGATTAAGTATAAACAAATTGATTTTAACGGCATATTTAAAAATTAGGGATTCTAAATTTAACTCAACTTATTGTTATAACAGAATATGTAGATAAAAAAGTGCCAATATATGCTTTAATTTTTCTTAATAATTAAAGTTAAAACAGAACTTCTTAAAATAAAGTATTGATAGTGTCATTTTCGCCAACTAGTAAAATATTTTTATAAGTTTAAAATTGTATTTTTTTAATATAATGGCCAAGAAAGTTTTTTTGAACCATGTTTATGAACGGAAATAAAGTGTTAATTACGTTAAGTTTGAAAGCTAATAACCAGAAAATGTCTAACTTATTTTTACAAAGAGAAAGTTGCAAAGTTATCATAATATCTTTGCTTGCGATCTTCGAGATCTGTGGACACAGTGACGTCATGAGGAGGGAAATCGTAGCTTCATCTCTAAGAGAGGAGTGAACTAGCCTTTCTATTCTCTTTAGCCCTGACCTATGGCAACACTTCGCATGCTTTCACCATTAGCGTGTGGAGAGTCTTAAGAGAAGGAAAACCGTTACTATCTGTCTTGATTTTCAAGTAGATTAGATACTTTTAATTTAGGAAACTATATATAACTAAAAACTACACTGAAAATCCACACTAAAAGAAAACGTCGTAGTAATTTAAAAAAATATTTTTGACAAGTAAATACGAAAAATATTAAGAAAGGGAAAAATATCGTAGTACATTCCTATACAACGGGGAAGAGTCAAGGTATGGAATCAGTCATCTCCCCAGATGGCGCATTCGAGCGTTGCGATCGATCGCGAATAATAGATTAATTAATGAAGTAAAGTGCTAAGGAAACGATTGGAATTTTTATCGTTAGTTTTCACAAAGTTACAGTCGTTCCAGCTACAGGGAGAGATTAAAATTTCCATTGATGATAAATTCTGCTGGTAGCAGTCGAGAAGCGATTTAAAAAAAAATTTTGTCATCCGGCACAGAGCTCCAGTCTAAATTTGAGCACTCTTGATAAAATCTGAAAGTGTTTCAAATTTCGATCACCGATGAATTCATCTTATTGCTGTTCGGAAAAAATTAAAACTTTAATTGTCATTCGGCACAGCCTTTCAGTTAAAATTTGTGGTCTCTAGCTAGTCAGAAATTAAAAATTTTAATTCCGAGATTTGCCCTCTACAGAGAGGAAAAAGGGGAAATGTAAAACGTAAAATAATTGCAACATTCAATATATATCACAACTAATGCACGATAATACATTAAACAACTAAATCGTAGGGTGACTGAAAATTATTGAAATAGATAAATACTTCGAGAACTCTGCATGAGGTCAAAAATTTAAGAATGCGGAAATTAAATATTTCGATTTAAATATACAACACACATTCATTGATACCAAATTTGACACTACAGCCTGGGGGTGCGGATTTATTTAAATATTAAATAGAAGCTCCAGTTTTTTATTACAGATTTGAATTTTCCAGAAAAAATTCCTCATTTGAACTAGAAGAATTTTAACAGCTTGCGTGATAACTGCAAAATGAGAAATGGGTTACAAATTATTTAAAATGGCCTTAAGAAATATGAGTCAGATCGAAAACACAAAATAGATATGTTTGATAGTTTATCATAATGACATCAAACTTGAGACCTACCTTCAAACTCAGCATAATGCACCGGTACTCATTTCAACAGCCAGAGTATGTGTCTGGGGGTCAAGTTTGCTATGTATGCTGCTTAATATTTAACATGTACATTTTTACATATTTCTACATTTATATATTAAGTAATGCATTAGTCATTTAACCCAATAAAATACAATTTGAAAGAAGTTTTGCAGATTATTGATGTTAATGAATGAAAAAAAGCATTTGATAACAATAAATTCCATTAGCTGTTTCAGCTATCTATAAAATTATGTAATTCACTATAATTTAATTTTTTTTTATAATAAATCTGTTCGAAGTTACAAAATATTTAGTTTGTCCTTAAATTTAATAGCACTTATTTAATACTAAAAACATCAATTATGTTAAACTTTCAAAAAATAGGGCAAAACTCAAAAATCAGAAAAACTGCAGACGACCTAATAAATGTAAATATTAATCTATTTATTTTACAGAGTGTAAGAAATAAATAAGGATTATACGATTTTCATTCTAAGAATACTTTTGTTTTAATTTTTAGAAGACATTTTAAGAAACACGTCACACAATGGGTTTCCGATTATTTTCTCGCAGGAGCTTCCATATTTAATTGGTTTCGTCTTGAGAAGAGATCTCTGTTTAACAATAGGTAAGTCAAAATCAGAGATAGTACAAAGTATTAATATCAAAGTATTAATATTAAGTATTGTATCAAAAAATATATAAAGTATTGTATCAAAGTATTAATGGGAATGCAAACTTTTAAAGAGATTGAACATGTTGGTGGAACAAATAATTTTCGGGATGAACATATATTTTTTCGGTTACAAATGGCATTACAAGAGTAACATCATCATTAAATTTGTCATAAAATTAATTTTTCTTAAAAAGTTTTAAAAAAACTGACACAGCATATTTCATGTTAATTGATTTTTCATTCTTTCAACAACAACAAAAAAAAGGACAGCTTAAGAATGTTTAGAAAAAACATAGAATTCCAGATAAATTGTACTATTTGGATATTTAGTTATTCGTACACATTATATTTTTCTTAAGTATTTTTAATGCTATAAATCATAATCTTGAGTTATAATGATTTTAGAAATACATTCTTTCTTCTTTTTTTTTTTTTTTACATTTTTGTACTTCNTAATACACTAATGATTATTTCCAAAATGATGGTAAGGTAAACATCTTTCAAAAAAGAAAAAAAGTCCTAAAATCTTATGTGGAAAAAAAAATTTTTTTTTTAAATGGCGCGAAAATTTAGCGAATTTCGTTCCGGTTTTTTGGTTTTCCGGTTTTCTGATTTCCGGATAACGGGTTCTGTACTGTATTTGGATATTTAGTTATTTGTACACATTATATTTTTCTTAAGTATTTTTAATGCTATAAATCATAATCTTGAGTTATAATGATTTTAGAAATACATTCTTTCTTCTTTTTTTTTTTTTTTACATTTTTGTACTTCGCTGAGAATGAATATTTTACAATTTTGTGTCGTATCCAAAACAATTATTTCAATGAACGTAAATATTTAAATGCTCTCTTTTGTTTTGCTTAATTCACTGACAAATAGAAACAATTGAAAGTTTCCTTTGTGACATGTTCGGTGGATAAAACAATCGGTTTCATCACCTTTTAAATAAGTACAGTGCGCCAAATAAATTTTTTTTTAAAAAAAACGGATCGTCATGTTCTAGAACTTAATCTTAATGATTCGAAGGGGTGATCTCAACGAATCTAATTAATTAGAACAGACGACATTTTAAGTTACGAAATCAGACACAAAAACGCACTTTCAATGAATAAACATACTTTTTTTTACAGATTCAGTTTTCTGATCTTGAAGAGGTAGTCACAATCTGGGAAATAGGGTCCCCATAGTTTGGTCAGGAGAGCGATCCAAAGTTTAAATCCTTTAATGTTAATTTTATTTTTAACGTATTTTGCCATATCTCGAGAACTTTTTAAGCAAATTTAGAACTTTTTGCACCCAACTATGAAACGCATTTATCCAAAAATAATTCCATGCTAACATAACTTTCAGTAAATATTTATTATTATATTGTTTAATAATGGTCGAAAACATATGAATTTCAATGTATAAAATTTTTACATCACTTTAAAGAATGTAATTTTACATGGCAAAGTACATAAATTCAGCGAAATCGATCCAATAGTTTCTGAGATATCGAATTATAAAGAAGCCATATTTTTAAGGTTCAATTACTCCTTTGTTCAATTCATCATGAGAAATGGGGTACATAATGAGACATCTCTTACTCAAAAAAATAATCATATAATAAATCTAAATTAAAATCTAAAAAATATTTCAAAATTTAAAGAAGAGTATACAAATCTCCAAATTTTGAAATATTTTTTGAGTCAAATGATTTCTTCTCAAAATAATTAACAATGGCACATCCTGGAAAGATCAATATTTAAAATTTTTTATAATGGAATTATGAATATAAAATATAGTCTAAGTAAGGTCCATAATACATCCAGCTTTGCTTTAAAAAACTTTAGAAGACAAAATAAACTGCAGTCTTTCATTTTTATATAGAACACAAGAAAAAGAATAAACAAGTGAATGGGAGAACAACTGTTGACTTTGGTCAAAAAGCATATGAAACATCAAAATCTCCATTTTCCCTAAATCTGAATAAAATAGTTGATATGGTAAGTATTCTTACTTAAATTAATAATAAACACAAAAGGTAAAATTTATAAAGTTTTGTATTTTCAAAATAAATTACATTTTAAATATTATATTTTTACAGGCTCCAATTACAGTTACAGTACTAACTCCAATGGAGACAGTAATTGAAATGTTCTGCAAATTAGGTCTCCGTCAAATTTTAGTCACGGAAAATGGGTAATTATTTTTTAAATTAACATTTTTTGATCATTCTTAAATAAAATGATAAATATTTACTTAAAGTGATTTTTCGCCTGGGATTATCTTTGGATAAACGAATTTTATAATTGTGTGCAACGTTGTTCGATTCGCTTAAAAAGATCACTAGATATAATGGAATGCACAAAAAGTAAAATTAACATTAAGAGGTCCAAACTTAGGAGCGCTCTCCAGACCAAACCATTGGGACCATATTTCTCACTTTGCGGCACCTCTTATATTTTGGGAACTAGAAATCTGAATCCGTCAAAAAAAAAAGGTATGTTTATTAAGGGACAGTACGTTTTTTTTTTTGGTCTTATTTTGTAACTTAAAACATCTTCTGCAGTAATTAATTAACATATTTGAAGTAACCCCCTTAAACCATAGGAAGGAGTCCAAAAGCGTAAAGATCCGATTATTAGATCAAAAGTAATTCAAGATGGTTCGTTTTAGTTTTTTTGACGCGCTGTATTAAAATCCTATGATACAAAATTAAATTAGTACCACACTAAAAAATCTTTAACGTAATAGCTCTTAAATTTTGTTTAATTAAAATAGTGGTGTTAGAAATGTAATATTATATAGTTCATAACGTAATTTAATCTTGCTAAAATAAAGGAAATTTTTTGAAATTTCTGCTGCTTTTTAGCGCGTTTTTTTCAAAGAAGTTTTATCTATTTAGAATTAAAAATATTTGTGTTTTCTTTTAGTATTAATCTTGCTAAAATCGTTTTGTTAAATTACCTCTTAATAAATAAATAACTGGGTTTTTTTAATAAATAAATAATAACTTTTTGGAAGTTTAGAATTCTGAAGTTCTCGATTCTTATTGAGAAGGCAGGCGCCTCCCTAAGCCCCTTACAACGCTTTTATGTTCTTCAAGCATTGAACTCTTGGGCAAAACTGTTCAGCAGATATTTCTCAGATACACACTTTCTCATTCAATAACATGGAGCTTATAAAGGAAATTTGGTACTAACAGTTTATTTAACTAAAATTTTTTTATTTTTTGAGATATAGATTTTGTTTTGCAGATCAGTGCTTCAAGACAAAAAAAAATCAAGTTTATTTTTACTGTTAGCATATTTATCTTTAAAAAAATTATAATTATTTTATTAAAGAAAAAAATTTAATAAAAAAACAAATGGATATAGAAAAATTTTTTATTTATTTTATTATCATTGAAGAATTTATTAATAAAAATTTTTAAATTTCTCCTTTTTATTTCAGAAAACTAACTGGAATTATTACTAAGAAGGATGTCTTAAATCACATACATGAAGTCAAAATGCTGAAAAAATGCAAAAAATAAGGAAATTCTAATTTTCAGTGATTTTGAAGACTAATTTTACATTTCCAATAATCTCATGCTCATCAAAATAACAATAAAAACTCATAAATCTATAAAAATATTTTATTATTTCTTAGTGTAAAGTATGTACAACTCTAATCTTAAAAATAGACAAATTTTTTACATCCAAAAATGTGTATAATATTTATTTTATATTATAAAGAATATACAAATAAACTGAAAGAAAGTGGAATCATTATTTTTAATGTAAATACAGGATGGTTAAAATTAAATTGACACTATTTAGAGGCTCTTAGCTCCAGTTCTACTGAAGATATCTATATTAGAGATCTATATCTAGATTTAGATCTATATCTATCTAATGTAACTTTAAACTGCGCTTGCGTTGGCAGGGAAGAGCATGAAAAGGAATCCTTTCTTTCCTATGGAATTCAAAAAAGAAACTTTCCTTAACAAGGCGGATTTTTTTTCCTTTTTAGTAATAATTAAAAAAATTCCGGGATGGTGAAAAATTTTCCACGAACGGCGTTCACGTATATTATACAGGTTAGCCAATTGGGTGGTGAGCTGAACGCGAAATCCTCAGTGTTTAGTCCCCACGCAAGCTTGGCAAAGTCATTTTATCGACCCATTGAAAGGGTGAGTCAACCATGTCCGGTCCAGGGATAGAACAATGAATTTTCGTCATGAGATCCCAAAGCCCCACTATTCAGCCGCAGAGTTTGCAAATATAAACATGTTTTGTATTTATTCAGTGAATATTTATTATCGATGAGCTCAATAAAAACATTCATGAAAGTAGAAGTTTAGGCATATAAATTTTGGGGATAAATTAATCCAATAGTTTTTTAGAAAATATCTGGTTTTCAATTAATTTTTTTTTCAGAAGAAATTTAAACATTCATTATAAAATTTAAACTCTCTTTAACAACAATTTCTAAACAATGGCAACTGTCTAATTTTCAACATGTGTTTACGAAACTAAATCTCATTCATAGCATATACATTGGAATAAACCCTTGAACATCATTTCTGAATAATAGCAACCAGTTATTAGCATTAATTTTATTTCCTGGAGTAACTTAGAAATTTTTTTTCATCCAAAACTAGCTATAATTTCAATTCAATTGACCATAATCAAGAATATTTTTTTGCAAGTCATTGTAAAACAACAATTTTTAAGCAGTCATACAACAGTCGATCATATGGTTTAACAGATTAATTCTGACTACCCTAGACTGACTGATTTTTATTTCTTTGGAAATCTTGATATCATTACAAATCTGAGGGAAGGATATTTAAAAAAAAAAAAAAAAATTAAAAAAACAGCGATAACAGAGAATTTTTTATATTTTGTTTTTAAATCAATAAATAATGTCTAAGAACTATGAATTGTTTTCTTAATTGTAATTACACATTTCTGTAGTTTGTCACTGTTTCTGATTTATACATTTTTGAATAATTACTTTATTGATGACTTCAAATGGTGGCAACCTTTTTACACCAATCACATTAGTACAGTACCATAAAAGATTGTTGTTTGTAAGTTATACTATTTTTAAATATGAAAATGTTTTGTAAGGTATATAAATACACAATCTATCTGTTCTATAGTAAAGTTTGGAACACCATCATTTTTTTATTATTCCTAAGAGCAAAAATGCATTTTAGCAAATATTTAATCAAACATGTAAAATGATTGGTGTTTTCATATGGTACGGATCGAAGGCACTTCGAAATGGATTGTGGTTGAATGAATTGAGAAATGTTAAATAGAACTATGAGAAAGCCACGCTTTTTGTATAATTTGTGGCAAAAATCGACATAAAGAGAAAATATCTCATTTTGGAAAAGGGAAAGTTAAGCACTTTTTAAATCACCTCATGAAAAAGCACCTTTAAGAAAGGAAATTCGAAAATAATCAACTGTAGGCACTTTTTTAAAACGCTACTCACCCTATGTCAGAAGATATTCAAAATTTATATTAAAAAAAAAGTCATTAAGCAAACTTGAGCTACCCCAGCATGAATTACAGAACATTATGGAACCATTTTTCACATGAAAGAAATCCATTACAATGAAAGACATTTATTCCTATATAAATGCCCAGTGAGTAAAAATTTAAAAAATCTAGAAAATCTGTGACTATTTTTTTATGTGTACAAAATGCTACACTCTTTGGCCGCAAAATATAAATAAAAAAAAAACATTTCTAGCAATTAATCATTATTTCCAATAATTTGATAACACTTCATAAATTAAAGAAAAATAATCGAACAATCTATTAAAAATAATCAAAATGAATTTTTTCACAGCTTACAAAATAAACATTATTCACAATAAATAAATATTAAACCATCATCACTTTATTCTCAGAATATCATTAAATAAGGTTGTGTGTAACAATAAATAAATTTACAATGAGTAAAAACAATATTTAAGCTATGATTTTGAAAAGCTGATATAGGTAAATTTAAAACATCAATACTTCAAATACAAAATCAATTATACAATTAGTGACGCAATAAAGCTTTTAAATATATGTACTCAAAATTCGTGACACAATAATAGCAAAATTATATTTTCATTAAATGAACAAAACCCGTTAATAGATATTACATAATTAAAACATTTATTTATATTTTTCAGTAACAATTAGACAACTTTTCGGGTAATTCTTAAAATGTTGTGCTAAAGTTCTTAATAGAAAAAATAAATATATAATAAAAATAAATCTTATAGGGATACTTTTCACTTTTTAAATAGATGCACAGCCATGTCTTTCCACACCCAACTGTCTGGATTAGATTTCAAGAGTACTGAAATATGCTGTTGAATACTTTTACTTATATCATCCTCTATTTGTGTAAGACTGCAAAAATGACTTAAGGCTTCTTTAAAGGAGATTTTCAATTCATTTGAAGAAAGTTTTCTAAACAAAGAAACAAAAATAGTTTTTAAAAATACGGTTATAATTATCAATAGAGTAGAACGTATAAAAGAAATGATACATTTTATCCCAATAATGTCCACCAAAGGAGTGGACACTTGTAGTAAATATTCTCAATAAGCTTTTAATCTTATTTTGTTTTTTGTTAATTTTACAAAGGAACTGATGTTGGAAATTCACTCTCTATGGCAATATTGTTTGAAGCATGTAAAATACAAGTTCATCACCAAATCCATTCTTTGTTTTCACATTAAAAGAATTAATTCTGAGTTTAAGTAGAAATCAGTTTTTAGCTATTTAAACATTGAAATTTTAAAAATTCCAGAAACAAATAAGTATACAGTATTAAATTACTTACTCAAAACTGCTAACCAAATAAGTGTATTGCATTACATTTTTGACAAAAATTCCAAGGTTCTTAATATTATGCAATTTTTCTTCATCTAATAAAACACTATTTTCATTTTTTTTAAATGTAATTGTGTAGTCCTATTATATACGATCATCAAAATTTAGTCAAGTACAAGAAAAAAAAAGGAGAAAACAAAAATCAATTTTTAATCTAAATTCAAAATGGAGATATAAATTCAAAATGGATCTCTAGATTAGCGGTCAACAGTTCAGTAGCGCATAGGTGACCATTCAACAGAAAATGGTTACCAAAATGCCAAACTGTTGTCCTCAGAAGTGGCGACCATGTTACAGGCCTAAACATAAAGAATAAATTACACGTGATTTGGACTTACGCACATCCATAGTTCAAGTCCTATTACTATAATTCTTTGTACAAATTTCCACATTTCTTCTTCTTTTTTTTATATTGTGAAGCTTTTTCATAGTTTATTATGACACATGAATATTTAATTGCTTCCATGAGTAATCACTTATTTTTGTGCTTGATTTGTAAGGATTCCAAGATAAATTTATCTACAATTGCTTCTTTAAGAATTATTATCGTGGATTTTTCCATTATTTTTAAAATTCTCAAAATTTTTTAATGTCTTTTTATAACATAAATTTTTTTTGATGGAATCAGTAGACGACAATTCCATGGTAAATTCAAATAGTCAAGGCGATTAGTTTTGCAAAGCTATTGTAGAGTTCCAAGCGTAACAGAGGGGAAATCACACAAGTATTTTATCCTAAAAAATATATTAAATAAATGTGAAAACAAAAAATTTTGCAATAATATGCTACTTTAAGGTGCAATGTTTAATTTAATTGCATAAATTAATAAAAGAGCCTCATAATTTAATTGCCAGGTAATTAAAAGCGTCCGTAAAAGAGGGGACAAAGAAAATCCCAAATTTTTGACATGCACTGTTATTTCTGCTATATTCTGTGATTTGGTACATCCTAAACATTATTTGTAAATTTTTTTAATTATCACATTTCAAGGTAAAATAAATTATTATAAGACTTTTTAAATTGCTTACGAATTTCTATTAACTTTAATAAATGCAATGTAACAGAGGGGACATTTTGCTAATTTGACAAATAGTTACAGGGAAATATCATGCCATTTAATTAAGCATTGCACCTTAAAGTAACATATTATTGCACAATTTTTTGTTTTCACATATATTTAATAAATTTTTTATGATAAAATACCTGTGTGATTTCTTCTCTGTTAAGCTTGGAATTCTACTCCTGGTTTCAGTTGGCAAGGAATTCAACTATTACAATGAATTTTTATGTGGTTTTCAAATATTCGGTTTTAATGATAATCATCCCATTATTATTAGTACATTTGAGTCATTACATTTTGACACTCACACTTGATTTCATTGCTGAGCCATGTGGTCTTGTCAATTGCTTCAATTATTGCTACAGATTACTCTATTGTTTTTAAAACCCTGAATTTTCGTTATGACAATATTATTTAGACAAGTTAAAATTGACTCCTGCATTTCAGTAAGCACTTCTTGCCTTCTTTAATTCAGGATAATTCAATCATAAATTCACATGTTCTCGCTAATGTTCAGTTTTAAAAATCTCAATATTCATAATATAAAAATATTACAAAACCCTAATTTCAAATTGCACATTTCAGTAACTACTTTTTAAGACTCTAGATTAGTGACATTTTATCTTAAATAAACATAATTTCGTCGAACATTTCATAGTTTTTACATGGATAAAAAGAAA